TCTGCAAATAGATAGACCTAAGTAGTTCAATACTTTTCATAACTCTGTGAAGAGCTAAGTGCATCAATAAAATACTCTATGCCTCCTGCAATCCTTTGATGACTGAATTAGCTAAATGAGATTGAAATGAGGAGTGATTTATAATGGGCTGTAATGAGAAATGAGTTCAACTGCCTTCCAAATAATTGACAGGAAATAGATTAGTTTTAGCAATATAGTGATTTAAAAGAATGGAGAAGGGAAGGCATTCCCCTTTGATCTCAGCGAGAGCAAAGTTTCTTTAGACATGAGCCGATCCCAACAAACATGCAGCAAAAGGTTCATCTAATGGTGCTTTTTTTTTTTTTTACCCCCTTCACAAAACAACAGCTAGTCCAAACTAAGTTACTGAGGTTTCTATTAGAAATCTCACTTCCCATTGCTACACAGCCTATGAAACAGGAAACTTCCCTAGACTTCCAGAGAATAATGACAAATTATTGGGAGCTTGAATTTATAATACAGGAATTAAAAGTACACCTTAACTTTCAGGGGAATTGCTGTAGATCAGAACTACTTTCTTCATGAACTCTATAAAGACATATTTGTCTTCAGATGTCATGCTAATTTACAGCTTAACATCGTGTGCTTATTCTGTACCCTGATCCAGCAGAACTGTAAGCACACACCCAGCTTTCTCATAGTGAATCGTCTCACCTACGTTAAACTACTCCTGGCAGCAAGGCTGATCAAATATCCATTTAGGCATATTAGGGAAGGGAGGTGAAGCGCCAGACCTAAAGAGGAGGCAGGCGAGGCTGAGTTGAGCACTGGGAAAGAAGGACCTGACCAAAACTGGTACAGCACAGCACAGGTATTCAAAGGACACACTTTCATTTCACCTCCTGCAATTGCAGTCCTGCAGACACTCCTGCCTATGTGCAGGTCCCTCACCATCATGGATTGAGTACCTGGAGAACTGGCAGCTCAACTTGCCCCTCCATGGCCTTGCCCTGCTTGCACAACACCTGTCTCTCCCTCTGCATGTGAAGTGGGTGTAAAACATTACCCTCCAGGTTTGGAAGGGTTTGGTGAGCGCAGATTGTGAACGCAAGCAGCTCCAGCTGAAGGAAAATCAGAGTGGTGACTTATCTGGATCAGGGAAGCTTACCACGAACCTAATATGGCTGCTCACATGGGTAAGCAGTAGACTTCAGACCCATACTATGAAGAAAACCCTTTTTATTACTTATGGGTCACTTAAATTTCACACAAAAAACTCCAGAGTGACTGTCCACTAACAGCAAATCATCTGCCTCTGTCTATGGCCCAGGGTTACCTTTTTCCCCACCCCACCTGCCGGCACAGCTCCAGTGTGGGATGAGTCAGGGATGCTTTCACAGCAGTACGCAGGGCAGTAACTCGTACAAGGTTAGCACTGTTTACTGGGTCACTGCCTCCAACTTCTCCCATGATAGCTGACAGAAAGACCCTTCTAACACCAGCGAGAAGCGAGCATTGATCTGACACTAACTGTTGACAGGCTGCAAAAATACTGATAGCGCATTTAGCAACAGCGCCCCAAATCTTGGCAAATGGGAGTTCACGCTCTCCAATTATTTTCTCCCATTATATTGCCTCATTCTGCTATGTATATTAATTGGCTGTTTTGGTTTGCTATTTAGCAGCTGGCTTCCTTTTAAGCTAAAGCTCATTCCCCTTAACTGTGTGCTTCCATAGCTTCTGCTCTGCCGAAAGGTTAAACAGATCTCGTTATCCATTTCCTGCAGAGACCTAATTTCTACAAAAGGCCTTGAGCAGGGCGATATGATTGGCAAGAAAGAGAATAAGATTACAAGAAGCTGTTTTCACACTTAGCCAAATACCGAGAAGCACAGGCACCATTTGAAATTATGCTCTGCATGGGTCTCAGCAGCTGGGCAGAACACCCAGCCTCTTCTGGTTTGTGATTATTCTTGCATCTGCCCCTTTCAGCATGGCAGCCTTGAATGGCATCCCCCAACATATTAACACATTAAGCAGCTCAGGATAAGACGGTACAAGCCAAACTGTATCCATTTCTTCTGAATTGTTATATGTTGCTCAGTGCTGCCTATTAGATGGCAAAGCAGCCCCTGCTGTAGCCCTGGCGGCATGGAGCAGGCTAGAAGTAGCAGCAATTTCCCCCTTCCCCTACCTAGTCTCCTGGATAAGTCTCCCAGGCAGGCCTGGTTCACTTCTTGGAGCAGAAAGACAGAACTACTACCTGGGGGTGCCCTAAGTGTCATTCATGGGCACGTGGTATCTGACTCACCACAGCTGAGCAGCTTGGCACAACCAGATGCCCATACACAGCCCTGGTCCTCTTCAGGAGCTCAGTCCTCTTGGTGGTCCCAGAGCCCACAAAACTCATTAGACTCCATACAAAAGGGGAAGGCAGCTGTGGTTTTCTTTTAAGACGCTGCTGGAAGAAAACACTGTGGTGGAAAGAGCCCAAAGTCCAACCTCCCCCTTTTATTTATCCAAGGGTTTAATCACATCACACGCCATCAGCAGTTCAGTTCAATTCTCACTTCTGCCTGAGGGGCTCAAACCTGCACCAAGGCAGTGCCTCATTCAGCAGGCATGAGCCCTTCTGGTGAGAGGACACCATCCCATCTAAGATGGCTTACTTTGGGAAGAAGAATCACTGTGCCAGTGTGGGTAGGAGCAAGCAGGAAGCTTTTGAGGAAGACTTGCAGAGTTTCTGGAGTAGAGGGCCTGAACATCCCCCTTCCAGAAAGGGGTTCAAGCCACATACTCTAAGCTGGAAGCCACTGGCTAAGGTCCTTGTAAGCTGGTATGGTCTGGTCACAAGATGCACTCTGTCCTTCAGCTTTCTCCATTGATTAGCTCTAGCAGGTCTATGGTTAGCACCCTAGGGATGTCTGTCTGTCTTTGAAACACCAGTTCTTCTGACTGAACAAGCAGTTTTGGATCAAGCTCTGGACAACAGACTTCCCTGTCTGCAGTTATTCTGGCTCAATGTCTTGCTGCCTGTGCTGTGCCATGCAGGATGCAAAGAACAAAGGGCTGCCCTGGAGCCAGTCAAGCACTGAGACAATTTGAAGAGTCTTCATCCCTAGATATTTCCAAGATCCCACAGGACAGAGCCCTCAGCAACCCCATCTAAATGCAGTGGTCATGCTGCTTTGAGCTCCTCTCCTGCTGCGGTCCATGAACCATCAATAATCTAGAAGACAGTGAAAGGGCAGCTGCAACGTTATGCTACTCTGCCTCCGTAGAGGTGCTGAAGCGGGACACAATAAAAGAGGGAATAACAGAAGAACTATCCAAAGCATCGCCTACTTTTTAAATTAGATTTCAAATTGAAGTTGTCACAGCAACGATACAAGATGGATTACAGATTCCACCTCCCCTTCCTAGAAGCTTTGATAAGCTTTAAATAAAAAACATGTGGAGAACAGTATGGCAGCTGTGTCTGCATCAGCAATCCAGACGACAACTGCAGCAGATCTGGAAGGAGAGGCTGAGGGTGTGACATCCACTCTACACACATTTCAGAGGGCCTTACTTCAGGCTAGCTTTAGCCTAGATCTTTTGACCAACTTTCCCTTTGGGGGCTGCTCCTCTAGATAGTTCCTTCCAAAAGGAACCCAGTCCACGTGCTTGGAGGTCACTCCAAAGCACAGTTAACTGAGGACAAGCCAAAGAGAAGCCAAATATGCAGTGCAAGTTATGGGGAGAAAGAGTCGCCCTCTTCCTAGGCTGTAAGAAGTTACAGGTAAGTACAGAAAAGCATCAGGTCTAATAGCATTTTGGGTAGTCCAGTGTAAAGAGATGTGTGGTGCTATGTACAATAATAATATTCAGGATTTGTCAGCTTGTATTCTGCTGCATTTGGCTCATTTGCACTATGTTAATGTTTTGGCTGTTTCACCAAGAAACACGGAAGAGAAAAGAAAGGAGACTTAAGTGACATTCAAAATCACCATTCAGATCTCAGAGAGGAAGCTCTCCATCAGGATCTTACAACTTTACTTGAAGCTTAAGGAACAGTTATTTGTTGTTTGAACAACACACTGGTTTGACTGGGGAGATAGAGTGCAGGAAACATGCTTAAAAGTCGCTATGAACTAATGCAAAACTAAAAAAATGCTTATCAAGTGTTGCGTTCTGTACCATCCACCCACAGAATCCATCAGCAATATAACAAAATGTCCTTGGGGTAGCCTTGTTAGCAAAAGCTCTCGGAGCTTGTTAGCCCAAGTGTAGACAAACTGGAAGTGTAGGTGGACATTAAATGCAACCCAAAATAAGCAAGCAGCTCCAAGTGTCAGCAGATCTATAATTAAGGTGGTATTTCAGTTCATTCTCTTCTAAGGCCTCAATTATTGTTACCGCACCTAGAAGATGGAAGGCTTTAATATAAAAAGATGTCATGTCTTCAAACATCATTTTCCCTCCCATTTGGCAATGGCAATACTGTAGCAACACATCAGACTTCTGATTTTGTGGAAGAAGTCAGCAGTTTCATGCTCAAGCGCTACCATCTTGAATTTTCTTTCCCCATTAGCAGCTAAGATGGTGCAGGAAGTTCAGCCCCTGCGAAAGGGCAAAATACTGCTGCTAAATGAAAGGGGGTTCTGGACTCAGCAGGTCCCAGGAGATGCTGGCCATCACCAAGGCCTCTCTCAAGATGTCTGGGGTCCCAGCTCACGGCCTCCTGCTTGCCACTGTGCCAGGACACCTCTGCCAAGGACCACAGACCACCATCAGCAGCACCCACAGCCTGTCACCTCCCCTGGCTCTCCACACAGTACAGGCTGTTGGACACCTATGCATGATAGGCTAAGAGAAGGCCCAACTAAGTGCTATATATAACCAATTGTTTAAGACCAGATGTTTAGATTTCATTTACACAAGTGCACTGTTTTTGACAAGCTTAAGGCCACTTCGTATTTCAGATTTTTTAAACAAAGTCAGCAATTTACTGAGAAAATAACAACAAGAAACCTCTGTTTCTACTGATGTCTATATTTTAAAACTTTGAGTAAGATTTACTCAGGCTTCATAATATAAAATGTCTTTCAGGATCTTAAGTGAAGCTGCAATAAGTTTGTTTTTTTTTTTAAAAAAGACACTTTTTCAGTTTCTAGAAGTTTCTAGATAAATGGCTGTCTTGAAATACTACCCTTCTGGGGCTCAGTGAGATCTTGATGAGCATCTCCAGTGCTCTAGGTGGGAACACTGGCTGCAAGTGTACTGTTTCAATCTTGATGCCATCACAGGAGTTAGTCATCCTCTGAGTCACTCTCTGCCCTGTCTGGGACACACGCCCTGATTGAAGACATGAGCTGGTCCTGGATCTGCTTCCTGGGGTTCTCCTCAAGGTCTGTCTTGATGGCACCGGACTCCGAAATCTTCCACTCCAATTCTGCGCAGAGCAAACCAGAAGAGCCATGAATGCAGGGGAGCAAACTAAAAAAAAAAAAGCCCACCCTTGATTCCCCAGCTGACTTCTCTTATCACCCTGCCACCACCAGCACCAAAACCAGGGCCTTGCTCTATTCCTCCTCCTCCACCCCCAGGTCCCAGCCCCTGCCCTGCCTCCTGCACCCGCTGAGCCCTCCCTTCACGGTCACTAGTGCTGTGTCTATGTTTAGCCTATATATGGGGCTAAACTATAACAGTTGCTCTATCACCTGACAACCCCTCACCAGCCAGGAAGGGGAAATTGGGAAAAGGAGGGGAGACCCTTAAAGAGTTAAAGCAAAAATGGAACAGTGCTAATACCAACTAAGGTATGCAAAGTTATACTCAGACAAATGAATATGTAGCTGTCACAATTAACAGGAGAGTGGTCCTCAGGAGCAGGGAGAAGCCAGAGGAGGAGCAGGATGAACCCCAGGAGGACCCTAGCCAGAATTCCACAGCAGCTCCCCTTCCTCAGCAAACCTTCCCCCTTTATAACGACCATGACACTACGGGACGGGCTACACCTGCAGCTCACTCAGGGCAGCTGCCCTGGCTGACTCAGAACTGCTAACGGCCTGCCCAGCATAGCTGGGCTGGGGTTCTGTCCCAGCCAAACCAGGACATCTTTACAAGCAACAATGTATTTTTTAAAAGTAAAACTTTACATGAAGCCTCCGGCATCCCCAGTGCCTCCCTGCTCCCTTTAGGACCAGGACTACAAAAGAGGTGATTGATACAGATCAGCAGCTTTAGGGGCAACTCTCCCAGTGAAGATGAATTCTACCTCCTTCTAACCATGTTAAGGGCACAGGACAGGTTTGCACATCTACCACTGGTAAAGGAATATTGCTCAATTACTACAGCTGTTTCCATCATATACCAAGCGCACCCCAATCAGGGCAGGAAATAGATGTGCTGAGGGGCAAAAAAAAATTCATAGCAATTCCATTTGCACATCTGAATTATAGGTATTTTTCAGGGATGTACTCTGTAAATGCAATTCACCCCTTTCCCACTACACCATGCACTGATTATTAGTTCCTTAGCAAGACAGTAAGGGAGATCCCACCACCAGTAGTAGGCCTATTACTACATAGACCCAAATTGGATTGCTTCCCAGAAGTGGTAGAAAGTCAATACAACACATTCAGCTGAAACCTTTCAAGTAGGTCCTGCTGGCAAGCCCATCATTAAATCTAATTTCCTTCAGACCTTGCAGAGTAATGAATACAATCTCACACTTTCTTTAATCTTGAGTGGTAGTCACCTGGGCTTAGGGCAGAAGGAAGACATAAAAGTGCAGAATTTCAGTGCCCAGCTTTCTGTGATGACTGAATCAAGACAGCTTAGTCACATTTGGATCACCCCAAATTCAATTATTTACGTGCTAAAAATGGAGAAAGCTAAGTGTAGGTTCCGCTACCACTACTCATTTCAGTGCATAATTAGGCAACCGCTGCAGTTAGAGTTAGCTGTTCTCAAATCAGCAGACTCATTGGTGAGCTTCTCCCCTTCTGACAGTTCAAAGCAGGGAAGCATTTTCTACAGCACACACTCAAGATATCCTGTAAACTTCAGAGGCTTAGTGAAAAAACTCTTCGCATCCTAACCCAGTATAGGCAGTGACATCATTCAGCAGGGACATTGAAATGCTGCTTAATTGTGGTTTACTTCAGATAAAGATGTCCTTAAAAGCCTGACCTTGAAAAAGCTTGAAGGCATCTGGACCAATATGCCTGCTCAGAAAGCTGATGAGTATCCTTTTAACTGAAGTAAAATCCACTAGTTTACATTTGAGTTGCATTTGCTTTCCAAGAAGAGCCTTTTTCACTGCTGACCTCTGTCTTCAAGCACTGCTGTAGGATACCATCCCTGACCAACCTCCTTTAAGCAGCAGCTTTCACTGAAGAGGCACACTGCTCTGCGAGACCTGCATCACCACCCTCATCTCCTGAAGCATGTCATGCTGATGAGGCTGCATGACCCTGCCTGCCCCTAAGCCACTGAGATGGGCAAGGAGAAATAAGTCTAGGGAAAACTGTGACCTCCAGGAAAGGTAACAGCCTCTCCCCGTGGAGCCCTGCGTTCCCTGAACCACTAAGGCAGGAGCTTAACGTGCTGCCATCTCCTGGAGACGGCAAGAGGAAAAGGAAGCATCCCAACTTCAGGCTAGCAGCCTCATGCCAGGCTCACTTCAAAGGTTCATGAGGAACAGAGCCTGCACGTCAGGAAGGTACAACAGACAAATAAATGCCATCAGCTTGAAAATGAAACAAGCAGCCCTACAATGCAATAGGCAAGCACCAGTTATCAAGTGCACAGATTATCAAGTAACTGGGGGCAAGGTCAGTCATTCAGGCACAAGAGCCCCAAAAAACGCATGTGGGTACCACTGACCCTTTAATATATTCAGGAAAATTTGTTTCATCCAGCCCAGGGTGTGAACACTTGCACAGACAGCAGATGAATACCTGTATGTTGGCCTACTCAGCCACTCACTGCTTTTACAAGATAGCCTTAGTCACATGTTGCTGAGCCATAGGGGTGGAAAAAAAAAATCAACATAAATCTGAGATTTAGTACCTCCCTTCTCCTCCTAAGCCTCACTTCTCTCATTCCCAGCAAAGCAGTTTTGTTTTTCCTTTAGAAACCTGGACATGCAGACACTCACCATCCCTTGTGAGGTTCATGCCACCAAACACCAAAGGCCCAATGAACTGAGCTTTGATGTCTCCCTCCAGGTAGACGAATATTGTAGGCAGGTTCTTATCAGGGTAGTTGGGAATGCAGGTGGTAGAGATCGCTTTGATGAACTTCACATCTCTGAACTTTCTTGCAAGCCCACTCATATGTTGATTTATTAAGGCACAGAGTGGAATTCTGTGAAGAACAGTAACAGACACAGATAAGGGAAAAAAAAAACACCACAGACAAATTAGACACTAATCTGCTCCAGAAAAAAGGTCAGAAATATCAGCTCAATGAGTAGCATTTACAGAAAGACAAATATACCAGAAGCAACTTCTGAGTACTTTTGTTGTCCAGTATTCCAGCATTCAAAGGAAACCAGCATCACTGGAGGTTTTGGCGGGGGCGGGGGTTTTTGTTTTAAGATATAGCAATACAACGTCCCCCTCTATCATACAGAGAAATTGGTTTATGAAGATAAGGTATTTAGAAATGGCATGAACAAGGGCAAAAAGAAAAAGAAAAGCAGAGCTCATGGAAGTAGTATGCAAGTGATGATGAACACCTGCGAGGCAATCAGAGACAATGAACAATATAAGTATTTCTAACCCTTTCCAGAAAATTCTCATGCAAATGATGATGAACACCTGCGAGGCAATCGGAGACAATGAACAATAAGTATTTCTAACCCTTTCCAGAAAATTCTAGCAACTTATCAGACCTTTTTGACAAGTTTTTCCATCATGCTGGCTGGACTGGAAGCCTTGTTCACTCCATTCTTATGCCTCTAGAAACCAGGCTAATGACACATGGTGATCCTTCTAACACACAGGCCCTCACACTTTATTCACAATAATTTCCAAAGGCTGGATATTTCAGCAGCAGCAACTACCTCTATGGCAGCTGTACGATGTATAAAAAAGCCACTTCATGGTAACATCATTTTAGAGCAAAGTTCAGCAGTCTTAAGTCAATAGTAATGAAATTCCTAATCAATTTTTTATTTCTTAGAACTCCAGAATCAGTTCCTTAATTTCCACAATAACTACACATTTGCCTAGAGTATTTTCAGCTATTGACAGTGAAAGGTTTAAAGGTTAAAAACAAATTCTTACCCTTGTTTGTAGAGGTGCAGGACTACCCATATACCTTTTCCAGCCTTTGTAACCTCTTGAACATAATCTTTTCCCGAAATCTCCAACACTTCCCCAAATTTATTCTTCAGCTGTGCTGCTTTCATTTCTGCTAACCGTTGCTGCCTGACCAGCAAGAAATGGGAAAGAGATCTTGAGGATAGATATATTTTTGACAGAACAACGGAGCCAGTTGAAAGCTACACTTCAGAGGCAAACTTCTTCAAACCCCAGAGCAACAAAAGCAAGTTGACATAGTCAATAGATGCTCTTATATCTGCATCACAAGTTAAAACAGACAACATGCAAAAAGTACACCACTTTTCACAAATTATTTTTCCCATTTCTGTCCTTAGCAGACATTTCTTCTGCAGACACTACACACCAAACTAAATAGCAAAAACCACAACAGGTGGTAGGACTAAAGAGATAATGGAAAACCAAGGCTGTAATTATGTAAACCTGCAGCACCTTAATCTCATTCATACAAAAGCTGAGCAATCTTGGAGGCTATTTTCAAAGCTCTCAGAATCCCCAGCCACCACTCAGCAGGTGCACATTATCGCTGTAAAACTAGGCTGTAGATAAAGGACACTGAATTTAACCCCAGCTATCCTATTAAAGACATTTAGAAGCCAAATTCCACATGCTGCTCTCACCTGTACATTTCAATAGCTTTCTCATCTTCCTCGTTAAATTCATCTTCATTCTCTTCTAGCTCTTCCAGAGTCATGTCCTCATAAGTTTTCACTAGAGCAGAAGAAACATCAAATCAGCAAAAGCCTTGTTCCAGGATTAAAACTCATCGGCTTTTATCAGTCCAACAAAATTTATTTACTTTAAGGACTGACTATGAGAAATATGGTTATTTTTGAAGTATTATTGTTACTGGATTTTTAGAAAATATTATGCATTGTAGATATACAGATGGAAAGAGAATGATGCAAAGGACTCCAAACTGAAGGCTGCCTAGACTAGCAAACGAGTACCTACACTAGCTTTCAAGTTTGTTGGCTGCAAAGTCATACCTAACACACACACAACACAGCAGGAAGAAGGAAGCATACAACACGTAACGTCATGAGATACTTTTACTTGCACATTCACGCGGCAGACTCCCTTCACACTGTTCTTATTTCTGTTTTCTGTATTTTTTCTCTATAAATACATTGAGCTGACATCAAGGACAAAGCTTTCCCATGCTGGAAGAATCCGTATGTTCAGGAAAGCATTTGTTTGATACTGTTAACAGATGATCACCCAGCACGAGAAGAAGCTTTAGTATCTCTTACAGACTTGGGAAAGGACACGTTGCTTTACAGGCATATAAACATTACTGCTGGCCATTTCTTTGTACAAGCTTCCCCCAGAAGCCATTCCAAGATTCATCCTCCTGCTGCCCAAGTTGGCTGGTCACGCACCAAGAGACTTCTGAAGGATGGCAAGCTGCTCCTCTTCCTTTGCACGCTCCTGTTCCTCCAGGTTTTCCTTTGGAGGAAGGATACCTTTCTTGCGCAGGATATCATTCCACTCCGTGTCTTTATTTGGGTCCTAGAAAAGAACAAGAAATGGATGATGTCCATTCAAGGTGAACTTTACCATTCCCAGGACTTAACACAGACAAGGTTTTAGAGAGACACAACGCATCGCTAAACTGGTAACTGTCTGGATGGTGCCAGAAAGTCACAGTGTACATCCTCCTGATGCTGAGGCTTCTTTGCAGCCCCAGAGCAGCACCCTGAAGACTGACTTCATTTTATTCTGTCCCACTCACAGCACATATAGGAAGTCTTATAGAATCATAGAGTCATTAGGTTGGAAAAGACCTCTAAGATCATCAAGTCCAACTGTCAACCCAACACCACCATGCCCAGTGAACCATGTCCCAAAGTGCCATATCTACACAATTTTTGAACATCTCCAGAGACGGTGACTCCACCACTTCCACACCACAATGCTTGACCACTCTTTCAATAAAGAAATTTTTCCCAATGTCCAATCTAAGCCTCCCCTGCCACAACTTGAGGCCATCTCCTCTTGTCCTATTGCTAGTTACCTGGGAGAAACGACCGACACCCACCTCCCTACAGCCTCCTTTCAGTTAGTCTTGGTAGGATACAAAAGTTTGAAGCAATGCAACCATCACTGCAGCTCTCAAGGTGAAAGGAAAGAAGAGGAAATCAGCTAGGTGACAGGGAAGCATGCCGGCCACAGCGTTCACATACAGAGCCTCAGCAGAACAACAGGCCACCAAATCAGTTGTCACTGCATTGGGAAGCACTCGTGAGAAGACACACAGGCACCAGCCTCACAAACCTAACTCTGGATGTAGCCTCCTTGGTAGATTCAAATCAATGTGACTACACAAGTGCTTAGAGAAAAACAAGCACAGCCTCTGCCAGGCTAGGGAAGCCCATTGCTAGGGAATCAGATCTAAGTCTACACCTAGACTGTTCCTGAAAGTTAAAAAGAGAATTTCCTGTGAAATAGTTGCAATAATCCTGCAAAACAAGGCCAACAGGCACCCACGTAATGTTGAGAAGCTCAGTAGAAGTTTTTCCAAGTTAGATAGTAATTTTATTTTTTTAAATACTTGAAAACTCTGTGATAGGCACTCACAGGCTGACTTCCGTTCTTTACTGTCTTAAGTTCACTTTGAAAACCAAATACATCTACTGTTTTGGTACAGCTTGCATCAATGTAGCTTACACTAAGCCTTTTCAAGACCGTATCTCTTCTCTAGATCAAAACACAGTACTTCTGGACTACCAGAGGGGAAAAAAAAAATAAAGACAATAAAGTAGCACAACAAATAACACACCAGATTTTGGGTCTTTTTTTTTTAATGTGTGTGTGTCTGACTGTGGTCATTTTTCCCTCGACACAACACTTCACAGCATCTACTGTCGTTTATCAACATAACTGATGAAGCGCCTAAAACGCCCACCCACCCATCTGCTTACTACAGTAACGAGACCAACACCGCACTTGGAAAAAAA